ATCACCGCCCCGACCTCCTACGGCGCCCTCGTCGTCCGCGCCGGCATCAAGCCCGGCGACATCGTCCTCGTCCACGCCGCCGCCGGCGGCGTCGGCCTGGCCGCCGTCCAGGTCGCAAAGGCCTTTGGCGCCACCGTCATCGCCACCGCCTCCACCCCGCGCAAGCTCGACGTCGCAAAGTCCTTTGGCGCCGACCATGTCGTCGACTACCGCGATCCCGAGTGGCCCGCGCAGGTGAAGAAGCTCACCCCCGGCGGGCGCGGTGTTGACATCGTCTACGACCCCGTTGGTATGGTCGACGCCAGCACAAAGTGTACCGCCTGGAACGGCCGCATTCTCATCATTGGCTTCGCGGCTGGCAAGATTGAGAAGGTCGCTATGAACAAGGTTCTCCTGAAAAACATCAGCCTCGTCGGCATCTTCTGGGGCCAGTACGCCGTGAGGGAGAAGGAGACTGTGGTCAAGGTCTGGGAGGGAATCATGAAGCTCGTCGCCGAGGGCAAGCTGCGCGGCACGGAATTCACTGATGAAGAATTTGTTGGGCTCGACCGCATCCCAGATGCCTTGATAGCGCTGGGTAGCAGAGGCACGTGGGGTAAGGTCGTCGTGAAGATTCCCCAGGACGGCCAGAGTAAGTTGTAGAGCGGCGAGTGGAAATTTTCAACAACGCGGGATATTACAGACTTTTAGAAGTCAGCTTGGGTACCTTTGCACTTGTGGTATATTTCTTGTTTGGGCTTCCACTGACTGGAACCTGGCATACGCCCCTCTATCTCTTTGTGTTCATGCATTCGTAATCATCCCTTCCGATATGTCCGATTCGCAACCCGAAAACACGCGAACAAACAGTGCCGCCCTCTCTATGCACTTCCTGTGACCTGGGTCAAACTCCAAAACTTCTGCAGTACGTCCTTATCCACGTTGATGGCCCACTCCTGCTCAAACTGCTGTTCGCCTCCTGAGCGCTGGACCACGTCCTGAAGGCGCTCCTTTACAAAGTACATGGCGTTGACCGTGTGAATGGGGTCTTTTTGGGTCCATTCCGTCTCCTTAAGGCTCTTCGGCGTCTCATAATCATTGGGCTCCATCTCTGACCAAATCAGAGAGTCGGTCCCATCCGTCAAGCCGTCCTGGAGTTCGGAAATGGTGCCTGTCCAAAGTGTGAAGTAGTCCTGAAGCTTGGCGAGTGCCAAGTTCTGCATAGGTTGAGGAAGTTCCAGGAGACGCGTCAGAGCTAGAAGGGACAACTTCTGTCGCTCAAGATGATCAACACCATCGAGATGGAAAAACCACTCCCCGCTCAGCCAGGCCCAGACGTGTTCCACGGGCCCAAACGATGACAGCATCGTGACGAAAAGGGCCGGATCGGCAATAATCAGTCGAGAAAGGATCGCAAAGTAGTCGCGCTCTGTTATAGTGCTCAGCTTGCTAACCTTCTTGTTTGGTCCAGTGGTTTGGTTGGCCTCCCAGGCATTATGAAGGTTCTCCAAGATCTTTTTGAGAAATCCAGTCTCCAGCATATCTTGGATAATGACCGACGTGCCATTGGCTCCGCCGAGCTCAGACGCAGCACGAATCATATATTCGATACACACTGTGCCTTGTCGAACCTGTTCCCGACTCTTGGAGTCGAGGACCCCAGATAAAGCCTGCAAAAATGGCCGTCGCAGCCTGTCCTCAAGGACCGCCTGTGTACCCAAAAGGATGTACGACTCGACAACCGAAAGGGCTACTGCCGCGGTTTCAGTCTGGTACTCCAGGAGAGGCAGGGAAAGCTCTGCTATGCTCATAATGTCAGCAGAGACGGGAGGGTTGCTCTGCATCAAAACCGAGTTCCACAGATCTAGCACTTCGTCAATCAAATATGTGTGGAGATCAGAGCCAGTCTTTGCTGCCTCTGACAATAGAGGGACCATCAAGTGCTGATATCTCTGAGATTCACTGCCCATAGACATGACCAAGGCGGCGAAGATGGCAATGATGGCTTGCTTGATCATGTACTCCTCGGTTCCAGAGTTCTCCCAGATGCTTGGAAGACTAGACATGATGAAATCTCCAAACTGAGAAACATGATGCTCCAGTCTCGTCACCAGAATGCGCATGGACTCCAAAACAGCCAGCTTTGTCTCGTCGATGTCAACATTCTGAAGCAGTTGAAGAAGCTCATTCAGCACATCGGCGGCATAAGGAAGGAAAGCTTCCGCGCTGAAAGCAAGCTCGTCCACGATCCATCGAAGTTGACGCGCGGCGGTAATACGAACGACGACATCGTTTGTAGCATCGGAAGGATTAAGGAAATGACGGAACATTTCGTAGATTAGTGGTCTGCTACCATCAGCGATTTTGACAGTGACCCATTGGCTGACCATGATCGCGATTCGGCGGCGGAGCACTTTGTAAAGAGGCCCTTGCTGCTGGGCATCCTGAACAACAGTAGAAACCAGTAAGGCATCAAAGTCGAAGTGATTGGCAACGTTCGGTGCGGCCAAGCCCAAAGCAGTGTACACTGCCTCCTTGGTAGCGATATCTGCTTGTGGGTTTGTCGCAGTCTCAAAGTAGGAAAGGAGGGGGGGTATCATGAGTTGCTTGAAGTTGACGAGAAGGTCCAAAAAGAGTTTCTCGGCACAAGGGCGCACCTCCCATTCGTACGCATTGCCTTCACTCTGCTCTTGTTGCTCCCATTCCTCTGGCTCTTCTTCCCAGGCGTCCAGATCCGCTTTCCGGAAAACAAAGAGATGTGTGATGATGATGTTTGCCATTTGAACCACGAAATCGTCCTTGAGAAGCTCCTGCTTGATGAGGGCCACAGCATCGTTCTCGTCCTTCTTGGCCTCTGTGCTCTTGTACTTGAAGGTTTGCTTTGGGTAGAACGCTATCCTCAGACATGATCTCATCAAGAGCAGGGCTCTAAGCGCAAGCCTCTCCAGCAAGGGGCCCTCCACCTTGGACTTTGACTCTGATTGTCCAGAGTCACCAGATGACTGGCGAATTCCGCCCGACTTCTCGAAGACTTCGGCGAATTTGGCAACCAGGTCCCAGTATGCGTGTACAAGGGGTAGAGAGTTAGGAAGAACAGCGAAGCTGGCAGGATGTGACTCGGACATGTCGATGTGAAGCTTGGTAAACTGCAAGAGGTGCTTTCCTACAGTGTCTTGGTAAGGGGCCGGTACGTGAGAGTCGTGGCTCACAAAACCGAGGAACTGGCCGAAATGGTTTTGCGACACAGTCCAGAACTGCTGAACCGTCTTGTCGTTATGGGGTGACTCGTAGCCAACAACGAGTAGGCGGCGCAGTATCTTGAGAGAAATCAGGCTGATGAGCATAGCCAAGTCGGCCTCATCTTCGTCGCCACGTCCATTTGTGAGGAATCCCATCCAGACTGCCGACTTCTCCGTGTAAACTTCTCCAAGAAGGTACACAATTTCCGGAGTGACGGATTGGAGTGCTGTTTGCGATCTCCGCAGACGAGCAGTGCCCAGTTCCTTGACAACGCGGAGCAAAATCTGCAGAGAACCGTGCAAATGTTGTTGATTGCCATCCTTGGAGCCTCTGACAAGACCAATAATGTTGGACAGGGCATCCGGCCAGTGTTGGGGGTAGTCAATTCTAATGACCTTGGCGGTAACCAAAGAGTTGTGCAGCGAGAGACCCTTCTCCTCCTCATCCAGTGTGCCCTGGAACAAGCGTTGTCGAATGAGGTTCTTTTCCTCGGGATCCAAGCCGCCCTTCACATTCGCGAGTAGACGCCAGCACTTGTCAATGCCGTTCTTGAGCTGGATCACGGCCAGGAATCGGATGTCGAAGGGAAGGGACTTGTCCAGGAAGATGGTCTGCGTTAAAGAACATTAGCTTATAGTGCCAAGTCAGAGGAGCATTTTGGGGACGTCATTTACCTGCAATGAGGAGAAATAACCCTTCTCGGTTTCCCATGATGTGAGCTGCTGGCCAGCGGCCTGTCTACGGGCATAGTCGGTAGAGGTCGCAGACTCGAGGGCTCTGCAGAGCTCCTGCAGGCTGAGAGGGTTGGCATCGCCGGGTACCTCAATAGCGAAGCTCATCGTTGCGGTCTTCCTGGTGAGCGACCAAGACGTCGGTACCGGTTTTGTTGGTCCCAAAGAGGTCGACGTAATGACGTTCGAATCGAAAGGAGGTTCTCGTGTGGAAAAGGCGGCGGGGAGGCGGTAGGAAATTTAGGCAAGCCAGGCGTTATCGCCTGTGGCGGGGCAACTCTGGCGCGTTGGGACACTCCCACAGTTAGGTTCCGGGTTGGCACAGGGCGCCCATCGCGGGGTAGTGGGGCGCTGAAGAAACGGTGCACTGTGCAAATGGAAACGGCAAGCAACCATCACTACACCTCAAAGGCAAAGGGAAAGAAGGCAATCTGAGGTGAGCCTGCGCGCTTCAACTTGCCTGTCTAGGTAAACAGGTAGAAACTTGGGTATCTACCTTAGAGGTACCAAAAGAAGGTTTCTTCGGCTGATATTGCATGGGATTTCCTGTCCTACCGTCACTGACTTCCAGAAGCAGCATTTCGAGCATGGGCCTAGCTGCTTGAGCATGGGCGGGAGGAAGCATGTGCCACTATTAAATTGCATCCATGCTCACCTATCTAATCAGGTACCTTGCTTTCAGCCCGCCGAGGCCAAACTAGTTTGCTCTTCAGCTGATATCCGGTCACACAGATACTCCCCTGTTGCAGATTCCCCGATATCGAATGTTTGTTGCGATATATAAAACATGCATTTCTCTAATGACTACCTATGAAAAGCAAACTCCCAATTGTTTTTGTTTCTGTGGTAAATATGGGCACGCCATAACTCCTCTTCCTGTCGGTTTTGAAATATCAGACTGTAGCAATCGCAAAAAGCTTGGATTGCTCAACCTCGACAACAACCGCTTTTCCCTTCATGAAACAAACATCCAACATGATGAATCGAAACAGACATAACACAACATGTGAAAACCTCCCCTTCTTTCATAGTCGTCAAACCGACCTTCTCTCAGACTTGAAATGTTCCTGTCAAGCCTGTACTCCAGTGAAGCATTTCGTCCGCTGTTCGTGGTTCGGAAAAAGCAAACATACTAGGCTCTTCCGCTTTCCCCGAGGATGTCATGTCGTTGATGAAGGCATCGAGACATGGGTCAAAGTGAGGGATCATGCTGCGGTGACCAGTGGCGTCCAGGTCTCTTAGCAAGTCATTCACCTCATTACCAATGTTCTTCGCAATAGGCCACATTTCTCCAGCAACCTTCAACACGCCCAACAGGAGGTCAAGCTTCTCTCGCAAGGCGGGTGACTGTACTGCACCGTACATCTTTGCGTCGAGGAGGGGCAGTGCAGCTCCTCGTAGTCCAATTATGCATGCCGGACTGTACTTGGCTGGAGGCAGCGAAAAGTTGAACAAGCCGATCGTTGAAAGTCCGGCTTGGAGCGCTGTCGAACACTCGAGCCACTGGTATGGTGCAGTGTGAGATCCTGGATTTCGAGACGGCGGTGTTTCGCGTGTCTTGAAGAGCGGGCCAAGACTCAGGAGATCTCGGATACCGAGATCCAAGGCTCCGATGGGCAGCTGCATTCTTATCCTCAAACTGGAAACGGCATGTCAGGAATCTGAGCCGGAAGCAAATAGAATTCAGCCACGTACCTGTGAGCGTAGGCCATTGCGTGAAAGAGAATCATGTCAACAGCACCGCCTGAATCGACCAACTGTTGCTTCCACTTGGGCAGACTGATCAGCCATCCAACCAGTCTGGAATCGGCTCTGTCAACGGAATTTGCCAATAGTTCACGAGGCAGCGTAGACATTGGGAGAATCAACTCCCCGCAAAGCCGGCAGAGGTCGATCAAATAAATCCACGATGAATAGCTTCTATCGTCCATGGGATCCCTAGCGTCGTACTGCGCCAGAGTGATAGGCTGTGGAATTTCCTTTGGGCAGTCAGCTTCCTGTTCCAAAGAAAGGTAATAATTCACTTACTCCTGACTGATACTCCCATTCTTCACAAGGCAACCCCGTGGTTGCCACGACTCCAAGGAGGGCGTAACTCGGCAAGTCCTCGCGCATCGCTCGCATGTTGCTATGGAAATATAGCGCCCAATATGTTCTGCGGAAGCTTTCGGCCATGAATGGATCTGGCTCGGCATCTGCAAATGCCCTCTCGTGCATTCCAAGGTCAAGTGCCATCTGGACCGCCGCATCCATCCAGCCGTTGCTCAAATCCACTCGGCCCTCTCCAAAGGCCGCCACGCTTAGGACGAGAAGACCTTGGGCCGTCCAAGGAGTCATTGGGAGCCCTCCACTGGCCAGACTGAATGCCTTCTCTCGCAATTCTTCCGAAGAGATGGCTCTGGAAAAGAGGGATCCGACGTAGGTGATGCAGCTGGCGAGGAAGTGGAACGACTGAGGGTCAGACCGGATATGGCTCAGGAGCTGGGTCTTGGGTAGAAGCCACGAGTGTGTGTCGTGGAAGTTGGTGAAGTAGAGGTCAAACAAGAATGAAGTTGGCGAGGCCGTCCTAGGGTCAGGGAATTGTGCCTTGTTGAGCGACCAACCTCCCGGTAGCCTGTCGACTACGTTGATGGGAAAGTCGAAGTTGGCCAGCTCTGGAGAGGGAAAGGATGTCGCGGTCTCCGATGGAGCTGAAGGGGGCCCGATGGGATCGTTGATAAGGCTTCGCTTCTTGGGATCTCGAATGCCTCTCCTGGACTTGGCATAGTAACACGTCTTTTCCTCTAAGCGGCATCGAAGACAAGCAGGCAAAGCTGAGTCGCACTTGAAATGCTTGGACCTGCATGGAACACAGGCCAATGATGCTCGAATGGTCGCCTTGGACCTCGTAGCGCCGGCACGCGGTTGGTAATCCGTCATGCCACTGGCTGACCCCGGGCTGGATGTCGTCTCCGATTCCATCTTGTGTACCGCGAGTCTGTCCACAGCTGGTTCTCCTTGGGTAGGATCAAAGAAAGAAGAAGTTGATTGTTCCGATGGCCTCGTGATGATCTGGAGTCTGGAGTCGAGCGGCGAGGGTTGGCGTTGTTTATGTAACTCGTATGATGATGAAGACGACGGCAGGTGCGTCGTGGAGCACTCTCAACCCTGGCTTACTCGGCCGGATGCCTCAATGTTACGTTTTCCCATTAAACGGTTCTGGTAGGTAAGCAATGCAGTGACGCAAGAGCAAAACGGGTAAAGGTGTGAGTGCCTGAGTAAAGTCGGTATGAGCAGCACCGACTGCTGCGGGAGGCCCATGTCCGCCGCCACTCCGCATCTGTTGAGAGCCTGGTCAGGCATTGTTCCCTTGCCTGGATGGGGTTTGAAGGACGAAATGGCGTGGATATGAGTCTTTGAGCCATAGAGTGAAAAATAGAAGCAGCTTGGTAAGCTTCTGTCGAGGGTCCGTATTGGGGCTGGGTTACGTCGAGGCTGGTCCAACAACACCACCACGCTCCGGCTGATTGGACAAATAACGTTAGGATGTACACCTGGTTGAAACGGGTCTTAGTTAACCTGCACGTGTAGCACTTGCTAATCAGCCTGCTGCACGTTGCCTAGGCTGAGCCTTCCCGCTTTTCCCGTCAGCCCTAAGAGCTGGCTCAAAGTCATGTCTAGCCGACCATTGGATTCCGATTCATTCTCCGAGACGCTGAAGCGCGCGAAACTTCTATGACATCTGAAGCTCACGATATTGTGTACAAGAAGGATGGGCTTGAGACGGCCAACAACCGTTTGATATATGATGGATGTAGAAACGGGGAAATTTGCGTGATAGCAGGGAGAACCCAACTTTGGGACGGACTTCCCGTGCTGTCAGCTGGCGAAGGCGCCTGGCAGAGCTCCGAACCTCCTCGGGGGCTGTATTCAGAGCATTCCTTGCTGCCAGGCTTGCTCGCTAACGATCCAAACTGTGACTGAGTAACGTTACCACATCGTGAGAATTCCATGAAGCAAACATGCGCCACGATTCAGCCAGGGTATCGCTTAAGTCCGACAGGTAGATCAACCATCATGCTCAAGAAGCGGGATAATGAAGATTCCAGAGAAAAGGGCGGAGACCAGAGAACGCCACGCTTTCTGCACCGGAAGGCAGGTCGTACGAGCCGGCACAGCCATAACAGCTCTTTTGCAAAGCCATCCCGACTTTTGGGACCGGGGGAAGGGGTTTCGACATAAGCTTGACTTAGATTCTCATCTTGATGACCGGGCAATGGCCAATCAGGGGGACGAGTAGATGTGATCTGGGCTGCGGTCAGTTCTTAAAGTCAGCAACGTATTGGTTGTTGCGTAAAGGTTGCTTCCTGTCTGGGTGTAGCTGCAGGTTCTGGCATGCCGGTAGGTCAAGGTAGCGAATCGTCGTTCGAGTATCGCTTGGAGTGCATAGGCCCGACAAGCAGCGGTGACGATAGAGACAAGAAGAAGGGAACCAGCATCAGAATGGGGACTGGCGCGTGCGGCCATATCCGAAGCAGGGAACATAGAGGGCGCTGGAGGTCGCGTTGAGTTCGTCTCAAGCAATCAATGTCGACGCTTCCCGCCGGGATGAGGCCGGGACCTCGCTTGTCGACGTGACACACAATCTGAGGTAAGCTGGTTCACCCGCAGTATTGATGCAGAGGTGCAATGCATGACAGATATGGTTTGTAAGATGGTCGCCGACGTCCCCAAAAGTAGTTTTGACGCCGTACCTATGATGTGGTAATAAGGTCGGGCAAGCCACAGCAGGGGACCTGCAGGGGCGGACGGAGGTTTAGTAGGTATTCAGACTCGAACATCGGGGTCTTTGATAACGGACAGTCAGTGGAGAGCCGATAGAGGCATTCGTACCCGGCGCAACGTGGAGATCTTTGCAGGGAGCAGTGGAGGTGCAGAGGGTGGCCCGGGCGCCCCGGTACGTCAGATGCTCCGCCGGCCGACATTTCGGTCCAGGCCACCGCCTGTCCCCCAGCATTCTTGCCCGCGGCAGTGGACTGGCCTGCTACGAATCGCTCGCTGGAACGGCGGACCTCGGCTCATTTTCCGACACCCATCCAACTTCCCATCCCCCCCGTCGCCTTCGACAACCTGGGCAAGAGGTGTGATGCTCAGCAAGTTGCATCTCGCCTGCACATTCCACCGCCCAATGCCGCCCAGATGACATCGACCAACTTTGCGCAAGCGCAGCAGCGCCTGGCAGCCCGACGACAAGCCCGCGAAGCAGAGAACGCCGCCCGAATCGCCGCGCAACACGAATCATCACGAGCACGCGCCCAGATTGACCGGCTGCCCTTCCCCTTTAGTCGACTCGGATCAGCATGGGACGCCATCTCCTCCCAGGACGGCACGCGTCCGGCATTCAGAGTCGGACAGGTTGACGCCGAATTATTAGACGACGAGTTGCTGGAGCTCCTGCGCGGTCAGGTTGGTGATGCGCTCAAATACTTTGCCGGCGGCCACCTGAAAGACGACTGGTCAGCTGAGATTCTCTTGGCACTGCGCGCGGTGCTGTTCAAGCTCACCGTGTGGGATCACGATGCGACCTATGGTGCAGCGTTGCAGAACCTGAAATACACTGACGCGCGCAAGGACGGCTCTGTTTTGGTGGCGCCTTCTAGATGGCAAAAGTCTCTCTACGGACTGGCTACGGTCTTTGGAAGATACGGCTGGGACAAGTGGGAGAACTGGTTGCTGGAGCATGACGAAGGATATGGCGATCCCAACCCACGCTTACAGCGACTATCGCGCATCACGTCGAGAATCACCACCCTGCACGCGGGAGCAGCGTTCGTCTCCTTCCTGGTCTTTCTCCTGCAGGGAAGATATCGCACCCTATTGGACAGAGTACTACGTATGCGCCTCGCTCCACCAACAAGCCAGGTGAGCCGTGAGGTGTCTTTCGAATACCTCAATCGGCAACTCGTCTGGCACGCCTTCACCGAGTTTCTTTTGTTTGTTCTCCCACTTATCGGCATCAACCGGTGGAGGAGATGGATATCACGAACGTGGCGCAAGACAAAGTCAATCATGACGACAAGCGGAGACGAAGACAAATCGGCCAACGGAGAGTATGGCTTCCTGCCGGAGCGCACCTGCGCCATCTGCTACCAGGACCAGAACGCCCTGGCAACTACGGAGACCGAGATCATGGCGGCTGCAGCCTCGAGCGGTGTCATTGGATCGGCCCAAACAGATATCACGAACCCATACGAGACTATCCCTTGCGGTTGCATATACTGCTTCGTCTGTCTCGCGACCCGGCTGGAGCGAGAAGAGGGCGAGGGTTGGACTTGTCTCAGGTGTGGTGAGCTGGTCAAAGAGTGCAAACCCTGGAGTGGTGATGTTTTGGAGCCACCAAAGAAATCGCCGACGTCCAAGGTTGTGGCCTTTTCGGAAGACTTGAAGGATGCGGAAGTTGAGGCCGAGAATGAGGGTGAAGAGGAGGACGACGAACGCCACGAGGTTGACTTTGTGGACGTGCCGAAAGAGAAACAATATTCTACGGATTCAGAGGAGACTGAGGACTCAGAGGGATTCGAGGAGACCATGGACAATGACGAGGAGTAAGAGGCATTCTGTACTACAACAACAACATCATGATGTTCGGCCTGTTTGATGGACTCCTGCAGTCACATCTAAATTACCAGCTAGATCTGCGCGCCGTAGGTAAACCGGCACTTGTTTTCACAGAGGGGAGTTGAGGCGATTGTAAGAAGTATGCACATTTACGATAATATCTGGGAATACAAAGACGGCGACGGTATTCAACCCTTCAATCTCCAATCTCATTTCGTGTGCTCATCTACCAAACATCATGCGGCCCCCGGCCGGCGGTCGGAGGACTGTGAACTCAGCATGAGGTCTCCACAGGCCAACACATTCGAAGCTCCGCCCAAACAGCGCTAGCGCCCGGTATGCCAGGGGGCTTGATCCGCCGTGTCCGCCAGAAAACCAGGGACTGTCCCAGGTACACGGGCGCCCTAGCGTCATAAGCCACTGAAATTCCAATTTACACTGGACGAAGTCTGGGATTCCTTTCCTCACACCACAAGCTACTACTGTACGACATCGAGCAAACATTCCTGCCAGACCCGCGTCATCCTGGATATAAGCAAGATCACGGCAAGGCAGCATTCACTCTCGCGGGGTAATACTTCCTAGACTTCAAACTCGAGCGCGTATCCCAAGCATATCAAATTCAACCAACAACTGTCGAGAGAACTCGCCTGCCACGAGTGGAAAGTAAACAAACCACACCCAATGTCGCGAAGATAGACGATACCCTCCAAACTGCGAAGCGATGCCGAGCTTCTTCCAATTCACGCAAGGCAACGAGTCCCGAACCCGGTTCACGAGCGACTCGTCTCCTCTGCTAGGTCGCTTTCGCGCCGTACCCCAAGACTCCGATGTCAGCGGTCGCCGTCGTCGGTCCAGCACCCTCGGTCTCTTCTCCAACAATCGTGGCAGTGTGCACGTCGGTTACGGCGCGCTTCTCTCTGCAGCTGGTCTCGATAACCACGATAACGGTGCTGATAGAGTCGACTTGGAGGATCTGAGCTTATGGCAGCGGACCTGGCGCGGGATTGTCGATGTTTGGGTCGAGCCAAAGCAGAGTGCCGTCAAGAAGGTGGTTGACGTTTGGTGGAGTCGGTATGGATGTCTGGTGTTGATGCCCGCTGCTCTGGTATGTCACCAACAATGAATAGGCCCTTGTTTGATTGAAAAAGAAGTACCAACGCTGATAAAACACAGGCCATTGCGTGGTGTGCGCTGCCGTTTCCGCAATATCAGTTTCCTGACGAAGATGACGACCGTAGTGAGCCCGGGTCTGGCTCGGGGCGCAAGGTACCTGGCCACGGAGAAGCACGAGTGCAGATTAGTTTCTGGTTCTTCCTATTTGTCTACTATGGCTTCTACAACATTACCGCCCTGATTTGGATCACCAAGGTCTTCAATCTTTACAGCCTGAACTGGTATGGCAGCCCCTTCTAAGTGTTTGGAGGAAGTCTCCACTGACTTACACGCTCACAGGTGGCCGCAATCCCTCGGCTTCCCGGTCACCATGTCTCTGATTGCCATTGTCTCAATAGCAGTGCCCATCCCGCTTTATCTTACCCCAGAAACACGATTCCTTACTCAACATAACACAGCTTGGATCTCCTGGACATTTATCGTCATGGCTATGCCGGTAGCTATAGCGTTCTGCATTCTCCTTACCTCAGAACGTCACCTGAAATTACGCCACTCGCTATCTGAGACGCAGCGGATCTTCACAACGTCTTGGTGGACTGGTGAGGCTGAAGGAAGTATCCCTCGGCGAGATAACCGTCGCCGGCCAAACCTCAGCCACGACTCGTTCGACCCGGACGCGGCGTTGCAGGTCGGCTCAGGGCAGCCCAGACACTTGACCAGCGTGAGGATACGCCGCAGATGGCTGCCAGCCAGCTTCGTACGTTTTATCTGGTTCTGTCTGGCCTTGTTTGTCGGCCTCATGGCGTATGTGATAGGAGAAGCGTACGCAGAGATCTACTTACGGACGTTACCCCACAATAATTTGGAAACAATCGTCTACGTCTACAGCTGGATCATCACGGTCCATCTGCTCGACGCCTTGACAGGTTGGCTGCTAGGTATTCGCGAGGGTGAACGTGTTGGGAGCTACCCTCTCAGCTGGGTGTTCAAGCTGTAAGCGAACCCCTTTTCCATGTTACAGACGGCACATCTAACCAAACATAGATACTTCATGCTCACCTACCAAACCTACGTTCGCGCGCTATACGCCCGCCTTCGCTCCCCAGAGCAATTCGTGTATCTTCAGATACTTTCCAGCAGCACCCTCATCATCCTCACCCCTTTGACGATGTCGCGCCTCTACCACCGCATTACCGTCACCCTTAACCTGACAGACCAGTCCTACGCGTCATATCAAAAGGTCTGCACCCGCAACGTTTTTATCCGCTTCCTCGCAGAGAACGTGTCCATGGCGGCCTTCCTCGGCAGCGTCCTGGTTCTACACTTTGGACCCAACAAAGACGTCTACCCCTACTTCGCATTCGACATGAAGGAGGTTGGCGACGATTACGACTTCAACCTGACCTTCTGGGCCTCCTCGGTCACATGGGGCTGCGAGCTCGTGGCATCCGTCTGCGTCCGCCTGCTCATCCGCTACATTTTTGGGGTCGACGTCGGTATGGAGGGAAAGCTTGACCTCGCCGTCTGGCCTGAGCTGCTACCGACGAGTGTGGCTGTCATGTTTCATGTGCTTCAAAACATGTTTTTCTCAATCATCCGACTGCAATTCCCCTGACGACACCTTCATGATAACACTGCTTTACACCCCCCTTGCGACGTCTTTATGCCCGATGCTGCGGTTTCGTCGTCTCTTTTCATTAGGAGTTGAATGGTATCGGCATTGGTTCTAGCCACACCTGACGTATGGTCTTTTTGGATGATTGTTTTTCACCATTCTCCATACTTCTGTCCTCAAAGATGGGAGGAATCGTGAGTTGCATAAATCGCGTTGTTTCTTCACGACTCTCGCTGCGTTCTTGGTTTGGTTCTACGCGCATGCCCTAACGGCGACCGTTGCGGAAGACAAAACGAGAAAGATACCCCCTCCCCTTTTTTAATGTCTCTCACGACCATTAGATGTTAGATACCACAGTTTCAGAGCATGACCGCGGCGTTTTCGTTCCTTTTCACTAGACAGAAAGAAGATCGATGAGTAATAGAAGTAATGAGACGAGGATTACGAGATGCAACATGATGACACTCCTCCGATAGTGAAAGGGTCCCTTGGCGCGCGAATGCACATCATATCATCTGCAGCAAGCGCGATAGGGAATGACGGCCCAAGAAGACCTTTGCATTGCTTGGTTGTGTCACTCACTCACACGCACATACACAGCGAACCGGCGAGAGAAGAAGAGGGTGTCTAGATTTTTTTAGGCTCCCCGTTTGGCTGATTGCGGCCACCTGCATGACGCTGTCCTACCCACCCCCCGGCCCAACGAGCGACGACAGCCTCCGGGACAGACGCGGCGAGGCTGTCCACTGACAGCTCGGTCAAGCTCCTGTGCGGCTCGGGTTACCGAATGAGAGCGTCGCCGGCTCGCTGGGACGGTGTTGTCATGTTTGCAGATGTAGAGAGCACAGAAACTAGATTACCCCCCAGCGCTGAGCGGTTAGCGACAGACAGACAGACGGCCGAGTTGACATGATCGTGTCGTTGATAAGCCCTCAGCAGGCAGAAGCGCCCTCTGTCCAGTGTAACTACCTTAGTCAAGCACGTCGGGGATCACCTCTGAGTCGCAGTGAGCTAGAGTGCCTCCTAGGAAGGGACGGGCCATCAATTGCCAACTGGCACGAGTAAGGTCTGGCTTTCGTCCTCTCTCTCTGGTAGCAGTGGCGCGTCGTTTTCGAAGCTTGAGCAACGTCAGCATATAGTTACCCACATTTGCCTATCGAATAACAGCATGCCTTTCCCCCAAAAGTCGTGCTCCTGCCCAGCCAATGGTGCCGAGGCCGGGTGGGAGGAGGCGGTGAAGAAGGAACGCGGTTTGCGCGCACTACGGTACGGGACCTACAGACTACGGCGTCTGTAGGTCATCCAAACTGACTCATTTACGGCGACTTGCGTGCTAGCGGCGCCGGAGGCACGGCATCTTCTTCTTTCTGAGGCATGCTGACTTGTATTAAACACCTTCTACCTGCGGAACATTTACCAAGGTCATAACGGAAAGCCCCGGTTGCGCAAGTTGTAATGCCGAACGGGGACCGCCTCGACCTTGTATCGGAACGTCGTGAAAAAAAAAAAAAAGCCGCTAATGCAACAGATCTTGATGTAGCTGCTGGTTCCTCCAGGCATGTGAGTGAGTCGGGGTCTCTCGTCCATGGAGGCTGCCCGGCGTGTGGGCGATTGCAGGGGTGCCGGGCGAGCAGGAAACAAACGTATTGAAGGTTTGGCTCGGTCCCAGAGATGTCGTGCTGTAGCAAGGTAGTTTTCCTGATGACTGCCGGCTGACCGAGCAGAGCCTTTTGTTTCATTGGGAAAGGTAATCGTACGGACATTTCGCAGTCTGTTTTATGTCTAGGATTCTGGAGCTGGCGGTTGAGTTCTGGAGCCCCTGAGAACAGAAGGTTGCATGTCGAAGGACGGCAGGGTTACGACGGTTAGCATCTCCGTCCGAGCCGCCCGGGCATACACACAGTGACAGGCAGATGAGGACTTGTAACACAGTACCTAGCTCCGTACGGGACGCCTCAAATGCGACCGACTGGTGGAGATGCCGCGTCTCGTCCACAGCTTGAACGGGCCCAGTGGTGAATTCGATGACAAAGAGGTGATGCCCTCAGCCACTCAGCGCAGTGGCCAAGGGTAGCACTGCTTCAAAGTGAGTCTGGCGGAATGGCTTCCGGGCCGCCAGCGGATGGCCGTGAAAGCAAGGCGTGCATATGTAGATAGCAAGGTATTGCGGTTGTATAAGACCTTGCTTACTTGCTTGAATCACCACTGCCGAGCGCCATTATCAGAATTGAATGCCTGTGGCGGAACAATGTCCGGACGGACGGCGTATCTGATGCGTTGGAGCGGTTTTGACGTGAACGAGGTTCGTTGCAGAGTAACTCGCTGCGTGGCTGTGACGGACGGGGCGGCTGTTGCGATCCAGACCGGATCGACCATGCACACTGTTCACAAGCTTTTCCAAGCTTGATCCGGGAAGATGGATGAGTGTCTGGCAAAAGGCTGACAGAACGTGGCCTAAACCCTACGTTGCCAGTCGGAGACCCATACGTCGTCAGCTAGAAATAGACACCTTCAGGTAAGGCGGTTCCAGGTCCAGTGGCAGTTCCGGGATGGTGCTTGGAAATGATCGGATAAAATGGACGCAGAGGATTCGGATGGAACTTGAAATATGGGGGCACCGAAGAGATGCCGTTGCAGCTTGCCCGTCTTGGGGGATCCGTATTGTCTGAAGACCCAGGCACCTTGGCTGAGATATCGGTTCACCAGGGCCTCTTTGTGAGCTGAGTGCTTGGTTGGGTAGTTCATCAACTGAAATGTGGTGTGGTGGTGGGATGAGTACTTTGTGATTGATACCGTTGAGAAGTGACTGATGAGCAGCGTAGGCACCGGCGGGTGAAGGAGGACATCCCGTCGGACATGGGTCCGTTCGTGTCGAGGCGCGGGGGTNGAAGGAGGACATCCCGTCGGACATGGGTCCGTTCGTGTCGAGGCGCGGGGGTTGCGAGGCCGTTCATGACCGGTATTGACTTCTGATTCGACAAACGCCCTGGTCGTGACTCAATGCGAAGTGATGGCAGGATGATGCGATGGTGGTTCGCCCATTGCTCTAGACTTTGATGGTCCAAGGAGTATGGACAGGGAGGATGAGACGTTTCGACGGGATGAGTGGGGCGTAATATGATTATTGATCGAATACCACGGTAAAGGTCAGATAACGTATGGAAAAGGACCCCTAAACATCAAAGCTGACGATGCAGACCAGGCCTGGAATGCGTAGTGGCAGGCAGAGATCCGTAAGTAGGGCGTGTGTAAGGACCCTGGCTGATACAGCGCTGTTGAGTGTATCCGTAGACTCGTCTTGCAAGGCAAGCTGCCCAGCTGAAGCACGTTTGTATGTGCTACCGGGGCTTTTGTTGCTAAAGTGGGTTTTTGAGTTCCGGTTTGATACTGAGTTTGAGCTTTGCTGGATATGGACATGCTGGTCCGATAAAGCAATAGTGGCAGGCCATAGAGCCATGTATTGAGCAGCTTGACAGAACGCAGCATCCTCAGAAAATGATAGGCTCGTTGTGGAAGTTGTGGTTGAGCAATGGTATCTTGGGCTGGCCGCCGCCCAGAGCGAGCGAGCAGGTCCAGGGGTCATGGCCAAGACGTAGGGTCCCGGTCTGCTTCGCTGTCCCCGTAAAAGGCCCCGAAAGGACAGGGAGGTGCATGGGCTGAATGCATCTAGAAGCAAAACAGGAACGAGCGGCGTTCTAGAGAGGTGCGGAGAGGAGGGACAGTGGCATGTAGGACGATGTGTTAATGGTCTGAATGGCACGCACGAAGCGGTCCCATCGAGTTTTCCGGTTGGTCGAAGGACCTTACTCTGGGATTTTTGGGTAAGAGAAACGGAGGGCGGTTGCAAAGACTTAGACCGCCGCAAGATGGCTCGCAGTGCGGTGCAATGCAGTTGACGTTGATCTCGCCGTCGTCATAAGCGCCGCTTCCTGCCTGCTTCCATCCCTTCCCTTCCTCTCCACTGCCATTATCCATTATCAGTACGATGCCCTGCGTTCAACATCCAACAAGTGTCTTCCAGAAGTACCGGTCCTGCCCTATCGTCTCCTGTCTCTCTCGTCCCCTCTGTTTCACTCTTCTCCACTGCACATGCGCCTCACGTCTTCCGGCTTCTCCTGTGTCGTCAGTCAACCTCGTCCATATAGTATTGTGATAATGGATGCCTCTTTCACAACCTTGTTGAGCGACTCACCACGGACCATGAGCAACTTCAGACGTTTGAAACGAGCCGAATGTTTTCCGCATGGTCGGGATGCTACAATCCCCACATGTTGAGGGGGACGTGTGGTCTGTAGCATCTGCCCTTTGAACTTCAGTTGACGGCAACACAACACAGTGACACAGTAACACAGGCAATTGGCTTCAACGTCAGCGTCAACAATGTCATCCCAAAACCAAGCAACCTACCGACCGCCATTAAGATGACCGTGACCGCACGGCACAATGGATCCCCAGCCGAGCCGAGCCCATCAACAACCTTATTCGAGCAGCATGCGTTACCTACCTTATCCGTACGGAAGATGAGGTCGTGGAATGGCGTGGCATCGTTGTACCACCTACATGCGCATGCAGGAAGCTGCACTGCATCAGCCATCGCTGCATTCCCATTCATCAGTTCTAGACAGGACAGGGAAACGGCAAGGTCCCCGGCCCAATCCAGTCCAGTACGGATACAGCGTTGGTGCCCCGGGGCCACAGCGGCGTCGGGCTCATGCTCATGTTCATGCTGGTGCTGAGCTGCCTGATGTGCGTGAGACAGAAACACAGCAGCTTGCACCCCGGTCTGTGTCTCTCGGAGATGGTGGCACAGTGGGGTAGTGCCTCTTTGCTCCCTGGTGCAGTCCGTTCGCCAATGGAGGGGTCAATGTCGCGTTGGAGGGGCAGAGAGGCAGAGAGAGAGATACAAGCAAGCCGTGCCTTGCCATGCTACCTATGCCATGCTGTGCCATGCCGTCCCACCTGCGCCAGAGCTGGCTTACCATTTGCTATTACAGGCAGAT